ACGTGACCGTCAAGAAAACAGGATAAAGATAGGATGTCTGAGTTGGAGCACCGGTATCTACGCAGCATTGAGCGAATCTGGTAGGGAACATGTGCTACGCATGACAACAAATGGGTTGCTACGGCGTGGTAGTGGGTGGAATAAAGCCAAAGGTGTTCAAATTAAGACTTGGCACGAGGATATGAAAACTCCCACCGGAGACTCGGTCAAATAGATCCCGTGAGGCCCCTTGGTTGGGGATCTCAGGATGATCGTACCCGGTGGTTGGAGACACTGAATGATATATCTCTTTCGTAAACAATGGCGTTCGTGCAGCTTCTCGATTTCTTTGCAGCCTTAATACACTGAAATTCTCAATTTTCTCTGAGACTCTAATTTCAATCTTCTTGTCTTTCGCTTATTATTCATCCAAATAGGCAGCCAAAAGACAGAAACCAAAACCGGCGCACGAAAGTGTATGGTTATTGACTGTACAAACTGAAACCGTAATCATTTTTGGAAAAGTAGTGGTCAGCGAAGGTGGATAAGCATTTCTACCGTAGGTCGACCGTTAAAATGAAATTTCAGCACAAATAAACGGTTACATCTAGCACTAGAACCCAAGTGTGAAGTTAGGCAAAAGTTATAGGCATCTCAGGATACACAGTTTACCAATTATTACCAATTATTTTAATGATAGAAGTATAAAAAATTCCCGGAAAGAATACCATAAATTTTCTAACGATTCGAAGCAAAAAATCTCCAGTTACCGAATAAGAACAATGTCACAGATTTAAACTACCAGCGAATAGTAGAATAAAAACAAGAGAAGGCGAAGGATGCGATAAGTTGACACAATCGGAAATCTGGGGGGGGGGGGGGACTGACAATGTTGGTGTTCATTGCTTGCCTGCAAAAATCGAAACTATGCTTCTGGTAACTGTAGAAAATCGAGAGTAGGAAGACGAAGATGAACGACACAAAGCGGCGTTAGTGATTCTCTCCGCTCCCGCTAGACACTCTTAATTCGCACAGTCCCATTCGCACCGATGGAAACCTACCGAATGGTATAGAATATTGGACATCACAGTACCTTGATGATGCTTAAAAGAATAACACAATGGGACACACTGAAGTGATTGTTCATTCTAACACAAACTTACTAATGGGAACGTGAGGTCATAGGACACCACTCTCCACCATAGGCATTCGAGTAACATGCAATGCACAATTTTTCGAGCAAGATACTAAAAATCCTGCAAAGTAATTCAGTTATGAACCCACTTGCGCAGTTTGATTAAAAAGGCTCAAGATCTTAGCATCTTCCCTAGGTGGGACAATACGCAAATAAGAACTACGCCTAGTTACCAAGCGTTCTGGAGGCGGAGATGTCTTCCCACCAATGTGAGAGGACAAAAAGCAAATATCTGGCTCAATAACCGGATCAATGAACCACTGGTAGTTCAACAGGAGGATATGGAAAACATTTGTTGTGACATTGAAAGTAAAATCCGATAGGCGAAACAAGCTCTTTTTCAAGAAATTCATCAATTGACCATTCACATTTATATAGGCTGAGCATTTAATATTGTTTGATCCTTTGCGCGGTGGATCTTATTACCCAGTGTACAAAGTGATGCTACGTGCGTCAACAGTTTGATTGAGCTCCCCCTTGGTTACGACGCTCGCCTCTGTTAGCCACTTGGCGACTGGCCATGATAGAGACAATGTCTGGACGAAACGCTTCTGATTGTATAGTGGGGAGTCAAACAGTTTG